CCGTGAGGAATACCATGCACTTTCCAAGGTCCTAATCAGTGACCTGCGATGTGGCTTAGTGTGGTCACGGTTGCCTCCTTCTTGGTTTTGTGTGTGTGTGTGTGATGTGCTGTTTGCGATACGGCTTTTGCTACGGCGCCGGATGACGCGCAACAGCATTTGCACCTGGGGGTCGAGTCAGATTTCTGCTCAGCCGAGCGTGAGGTGTACCGTGCGGTTAGAGCATACTGACCTTCTCTGGTTTTCCCCCTCCAGTATTTAATTAGATGCAAGCCAATGGGCTGCGTCCGACTCGGACTCTACGCCCCAAATGAGCAAAAATGAGCGATAACCAATATATATATATATATAATTATATATATATATATATCTTTATAGATATGTATATGTATAATGTATACCTGCGCATATCTCTCTCTGTATATATGTACACACACACGTGCACATACATTGCATGCATACACACATCATGCTTACATACATGCATGCAGACCCGAGCCATCGCACAGACTCCGAAACTGTGCTTCAGCCTCAGCTTTTCAAGCTTCGGAGTCGCTCGGAGGCCGCATCATGAACCCGAACAGATTAGTTTAAACATCTGATGGATAAGCCCAAGAGCACCATCCCTGTAAGTTTGAGGGTTTAGGGTTTAGGGTTCAGGGTTTATATGGGGGTTTCCGAAAATAGGGGACCCTAATGTAGTACCCTAAATAATAGGATCCCTACTATAAGAACCCCAAAATAAGGTACCCTAATTTTCTGAAACTCCCATATAGGGTGATGGTATACGGATCCTTACGCTAAGAGGCCCTAAAGCTCTGAACGCTTCGGGATGGACCGGGCTCGGCCTCGTACTTCTCGTACTCGCCTCGCCGAGAACCCCAAGCCAGAAAAGCGCGGAGTGATGGTTTAGGGTTTAGGGTTTAGGGTTGGGATCCTTAAGCCCCTTTGAGAAATTTAGGGTTTACAGGGTTGAAGGTTTCGGTATGAGGGATCTATACCACATGGGGGCCTTGTTAGTTACAACACAGAGTGTTTTTTGCGGCACATGCTAGTCGAAGGGCTTGTTCTTGCTGGCAGCAGTAGGGTTTAGGGTTTAGGGTTTAGGGTAATCTGAATTTCTGATAGAATTAGGCTCCGAACTGACTTTCAGGTCGATTCCTCGATTTCAGGCCTTAAGCATCCAGCAATGTCAAATATAAGTTAGGTCAGAATAAAGCACGATAGGGCCTTAATAATTAGTTTTGAGGCCCAGTATACTCTATTTATAATGAGGAACCCCAAAATAGTATGGGCTAGTAGTAACCCTGATGCCGCATGGATGTCCCTCAAACCTACAGGCCGTTCTCCCTTCCAACTCGAGTCCCATGAATCCAAAACCGTCAGACAAACGACACCGGAACGGTTTAGGGGACCCGAATTTAGACAGCTACCCAAACACGAGAGCCGCCTTCAAAAAACTCCAATTAGAGTAGGGTTGGGGGGTACAATAGAGTCTACATATAACCCGGAGCCCTAGGAATGGTATTGGTGCTTCTTCCGGCCTCTATATTAAGCCCAAATACAAAAGCCGCCTTCCAGAAAATCCATCAAGCCACCATCCGGGGCATCTTCCTGATACTGGAAGGGCTTCCTGGCGGCTGCGGGCTCGGTTTAGGGTTTAGGGTTTAGGGTCGGGATAAGGGCTCAAGGGGCCCTTCAACCCCAAACCCTATGTAGGGCTGGGATATTATACCCTAAAACCTAAACCCTGTAGGGCTTTGGGGCTTTAGGGCTTCAGGGGTTTGGGGGTTTAGGGGTTTTAGAGTTTAAGAGCTTCGAATCTAAACCCTAAACGCCCTAAACTAGGGCGGGTCGGGCTTAGAGGCGTTTCGGGCTTTTGTGTTAAGGGTTTTGTAGCCAAGCTTCCCAGCATAAAAGCTCATGCGGTCTAGGGTATAGGGTTTAGGGGTTTCAGATTATTGCTTCAGCAGACGGCACTACTCTTGCACACTAGTGAGGATGCTTCGCAAAAGAACGGACATAGTCGACGAAACTCGGAGATCGGGATGTCTTGTTTACACCTTGCCCGGGATTCTTGCTCGCCGAACAGCTTCGAGCCGCAAGCTGCAACCAGGGGGATCACGCCGCCGCCACAGGAGTTGACCCCCCAAAACTTTGAGCGACTTGGCCAATAGTTTCTGCGCTTCGGCGCCTGGAGGTCGAACAAATCACGCTCCTGATGATAAGTCGGGCATCATAGACCTAAACCCTAAACCCTAAACCCTAAAGGCAATCACACATCCAGGTCAAAGGCCTCTGATCCCAATCTCGAAAAGCATCCCCCGGGAACTGCTGATATAGATCCTGCATTACCTTGAAGACCCAAAGCCCTAAACTATGGGAGTTATGGTATATTTCCGTATTATGGGGTACTGCAGGATTTATATCATCAGTCGTGTGAACCACCACAGGAAGCATTGAGAACCCGGCTCTGGGGTTTGGGGGTTTAGTATGTTGCAAGTAGAACCCTTAAACCCCTAAACCCTAAACCCTAAACCCCTAAACCCTAAACCCTAAAGCCTAAACCCCTAAACCCCTAATTCTTGTTGCAACCGGGGCCGGGGGAGATGGGGATCTGTAAAATCCCGACGATCCATGCACCGCTAGCAACAGGGCTCTTCAAGCTCAAACCTCCTCCTAAACACCTTCTGCCCGTCTTAGACTTTATTCTTAGTTTAAAAGCCTCCCAAAACCCCAACCCTACACCCAAAACCCAAAACCCTAAACCCTTAACCCGAACCCCTTCTCTCCTGAACGCCTGTTTCTCTTAACCCCTACCTCCCTAGCCGACAAACCCCTCAACCCCACCTTCCCTTAGAAACCACCCGACTACCTCAAACCACTCAGAACTTTTAAAGTCAGGGTTTAGCCTTGAGGGTTAAAGACTCAGGCTCTGATAAAAACCCGCCGATGAGTTTAGGGATCAGTACGGGGTTGTCCTCTTGGAGCCAGCAGCCAAGTCGGGCCACGCGCAGTAGCCTCGGCTGAAGGTCGGTTTCTGCGGCCAGGTATCACCCCAAAACTCGCGAGCCTGAATTGTCAACCCAAGTGAAGTACCTTTTAGGGTTTAGGGTTTAGGGTGCTACTTGGAGTATCATGGACTTAAGAAGTATGGCCGCAAGTGCCTTCATTGGGGTTATGAGTAATCATATCAATTCGTTACTCAGTCCCATGATCCCAGAAGTGGATGCCTACGCAACATTAAGAAAGCCCTCGGTTGAGCATGTGTTATGCATGAGGATTTATGCAACTGGGAACTCCCTCTAGGTGTCTCGATAGTCTCAGCTGCTGAGTTCATAAAGCCCCCAAAGTGTATACTTTCAGATTTATAGTAAAAGGAAAAACATTAAAACCCCAAACCCCAAACCCTAAGCCCTAAACCCTGAACATTAAACATTATCCCAAAATATGTAACATGCACCTATTCAGCTACTAAGCAAGAGGTATCCTACAATTCGGGGTCCTTGGGAACAAAGCTCTCCCAAAGACTCCAAAACCCCTTATTTAAGGAATATACCTGAAACTATAATAGGAACCCAACCCTAAACCCTAAACCCTAAACCCTAAACCCTAAACCCTAAACCCTAAACCCTAAACCCTAAACCCTATTCCTTAGTTAAGGGATATTGGAGTCTCTGGGCCCTGACCTTCTGACCCAGAAGGCTTCGGCTCTAGGGCGCTGGCAGTCTGACCGGGTTTAGGGTTTAGAGGTTAGGGTTTAGGGTTTAGGGTTTAGGGTTTAGGGTTTAGAGGTTAGGGGTTTGAGGGTTGAGGGTTTTTAGGGTTTGGGGGTTTAGGGTTTCGGGGTTCAGGGTTCAGGGGTTTAAGGGATTCGGGGTCTAGGGTTTATAGGGGTTTAGGGTTTATGGGGGTTTAGGGTTTAGGGAAGGGTTTTAGGCTTTAGGGCAAAAGCCCGACAACGCCGGGGTCTACATGTGCCAAGGCCCTACTTTGACAAGGGTACTCCGATCCAACAGTGTTCAGGGAACCAGCTGAGAACGGATTTCAGAGATTTGTGGAAGTAGGTCTAATCCCCGTAATGCCAATAATACCATAAACGCCGGATCCTACACCCTAAACACTAAGCCCCCGAATCACCAAGAGAGGCAAAGATCTCAAAGGTTAAAGGTCTCCGCCCCTTTTCGTGATTGAACTGTCGCAACCGGTTCCCGAGCAAAGCCCAAACAGTCATGAAGTCTCGAAAAGAGATCCTAATCTGCTTGTTGTTCTTATCTGTGTCATGCTTATTGTTGTTATTACTACTACTACTATTATTACCATCATTATTACAACTATTACTATTATTATTCTTCTTATTATTGTTTTGTTCTTACTGCATCATCAACCATGACCTCGTGGAGTTCCCAACCAGGCAGGGCAAATTTTCTAAAGTTCCTCGCGAGTCGCCGTGCCGTGGGTCATAGACCTTCTGGAGCTTCACGTAGACGTGGTTGCCTGCCATTTTAAGGGGGTAGGGCTAGGGTTTAGGGTTTAGGGCTTAGGGTTTAGGGATAGGGAGCTTCACGTAGACGTGGTTGCCTGCCATTTAGGGGGAGGTAGGGCTCCTTGAAGGCATTCATAATCATGGCTGTCTAAGGCTCCTTGAAGACTTCGATACAGGCTACTACGGGTTGAGGGCTCGTTGAAGACTTCGATACATCATGGGGGTTTAGGAGTTTAGGTTCGAGGGGTTTGGTGGGTTTTGGTGGTTCATGGTTGCCCGCCAGTTAAGCTGAGGGTTCCTTTAAGTAATATGGGGACGTTTATGAATACCTCAACCTACCCAAACCTACTTTTTTGTAGGGTCCCCAAAAATTCCATAATAGGGTTTGTAATAAGAACCTACCCTAAACCCTAAACCCTAAACCCTAAACCCCAAACCCTGAACCCTAAGCCCTAAACCCTAAACCCTAAACCCTAAACCCTAAACCCTACCAGAAAGTAGGGTTTTGGTAGGAAGCAGATATGTTACACTACCTCTGCGGCCGACGGGCCCCAGGCCGCCAAGCCTATTTGCAATTTGGGGTTTGAGGGTTTGGGGTTTAGGGTTTAGGGTTTAGGGTTTAGGCTTGCAACATGCGAAAAATCTTAGGCAGAACTGACATATTACCTTTCTGGCTAGGATTTAGGGTTTGAGGGTTTATGTTTGCAACATGCGAATCATCTTAAACCGAACTTGTGTATTACCTTTGGCGGTCTGATCGTCCTCCACTGGATACTTACTACGGCTTCAGGGGTCCATGGTTTACGTTTTTAGGGTTTGGGGTGAAAACTTTGGGGGTGTTTCGAAGGTGTCTGACTGCATGGAGCTTACGGCTTGAAGGTGCGAATCCCAACTGCTCCTGGGGCAAACGAACCTACAGAACCTCACTATGAGGTCGTCAAACCTACAAGGCCCTATAAAGCCTTATATCAGTAGCATAGCCGGAAGACCACTGCAGCAATGCTGAGCTTTGGCCAAGCGCAAGGGTCTTGGGGCTTTGAGGTTTTAGGGTTTGGGCTTGTTCAGGGTCATTAATTGGCATGACGATCCGTGCTATCACTACGACCCGATTCGGACAACTTCGGCAACGAAGATCCAAATTTTGCAACTTGGAATCTCTCCAAACATCGCGGCCTGTGGTGACCTGCACGGCAGATCCTCACAGTGGCAGACTTTGGCCTTTGCTGTAGGTCTATACATGACTCCAGGCACGCGCGCCTCCCTCTGCGATTGCGGGGAGACCGTGTGCCTGCAAAACTGCTGGTGCTCGGTGGTCTGTGCACAACCCTACGGCTCCAGGTACCTAACGTGCATAAACAAAGGATCATACGCCTGAGACAACATCCCCATAACTTTGTCGCAGTATGTATAGGGCTTAGGGTTTAAACTTGATCAATTCAGGCACCTGGAGTCCTAGAGAGACCGAGATCAGTAGCAAAAGAACTCCGCCGGTGTGGCGGCTATGCCTGCTTCACATGCAGACTTGCACGGCTGAGCCTCGGCATGCGTGATATTTCCTGTGCAAGTTAGATCGGAGGTAGTTGTTTCAGAATTGGCACCGCAAAATCAGCTGTTGGAGCGTAAAGGCTTCGAGGTTTCTGCCAACGAGCTGCCGGATGATCCAGGTAGTGCTGCCCTTCTCCGGCCCAACGAAGTTAATTCACGAAGGGTGTGCCTGGAAATCAGGGGTTTAGAGTTTAGGATTTAGGGTTTAGGGGCTGACTCAGGGGTTGGGGGTAGAGTGCTTCGGTGAGCGTCTCTTCATCACTCCTAAGTCCCAAAACCGCAAGACTTGGCGCCCATGTCCATAACGTTTCAGCCCTAAACACCGCCAAAAACCAACAAAATCAAAACGCGCCCGGGCAAGTAACCAACAGCCTGCAGCCTAGCCCCTAACACTCGGTTCGGACGAGGGTTTCGGGGTTTAAGGGGCGTTCAGGTTTTAGGGTTTAGGGTTCAATGTTGATAGGGTTTGGGGTTTAGGGGGGTTAGGGGTCCAGGGTTCAATGTTCAGGGTTTGGGGTTGAGGGGGGTTTGGGGTTCAGGGTTTAGGCTCACCCCAAAACCAGAACACCAAGCCCGGCTTTGAACACCCTAAACCTAAACCCTAAACCCTAAACCCTAAACCCTAATAGCCTGAGAAGACCCGATCGTCGCCTGTTCTTCCCCGCGCGAACCCCAAGTCTCATGTTAACGGCGCCCTGTCGCGATTCAGTTCTTAGCTGCTGAGTTCATAAGCCACAAAAACTGTACACTTTCCGTTTTATAGTGGGTAATATTAACCCAAAAAGTGTAAAGTGTATCCACTCAGCTACTAAGAGTTCGACGGCCCCTAAGCAGTGTACTGTAAAGGTTCCAGAAGTGTTCGAGAAGGGCAGAAACACGGGAATTAAGAGAAGGACTATCAGAACAGGGTCTAGGGTTTAGGATTTTGGGTTGGAACTCTGAACCCTAAGCCCTCACAAATCCCAAACCTTAAGCACTAAACCCCTGATCCCTCAACCCTATAAGCCCTGAGCCCTTGTAATTCTTAAACCCCTGAGCCCTGCACTTTATAAACTCTAAGCCCATGTGACTTTTAAATCCCTGAGCCCTACACCCCTAAACCCAAAACCCTAAACCCCAAGCCTCATCTTTAAAGCTCCCATTTCTCCAGGGGAGGCTGGAAGGCTCCTTTCCAAGATTTCGCCTCGCGTCTTGAAGGCTCGAACACCCGAAGGCTTGCTGTTCCCAAAGGGTCTAGGTATTGTGCTTCAGGGTCTAGGATTTAGGGTTTAGGCTTTAGGGCTTAGGATTTAGGGTTTAGGGTTATTGGGGATACTTCCCAAAGGATCCTATCGTAAGAGCCAGAAAGTTGGAACATGATTTTCCTAATGCCCTTTAAGGTAAAGTATAAGGGATCCCAGCACCAATCCTCTTAAATCCATGTTCCAACTTTCTGGGATCTGCTTTGGGTATTGTGCTGCAGGGTTTAGGATTTAAGGCTTTAGGGGTATTGGGGATACTTTCCCAAGGAATAATAATAATGATTCCTAATCTAGAAACCCTACATTCTACGACGTTGGTACTTTGGACCCTGTGGGATTTGGGTTACACAAAGGAAAATCTGGCTTCGTTACTATTTCGGTTACAGAAAGGATATCCTGGGAGACTTTAAAGGTTGCCGGAAGGCATCCATAACGGATCTTCGAGGGTTTAGGACGCAGGGCTCTAGAATGTAGGGCCTTGCGAATGTATTATGTTTTACGTGTTCCGCTAGAGGGCCCCCCTTCGAGGATTAATTAATATACGGACTCCATCGTAATCTAGGGATCTTAGTGACTAGACTAGGGTTTTGGGGTATCTTGTCGCAATAAGAAACCTTAGGGAATACTATTTATGGTAATGAATCAAGCCCCTATAGCAGTCCATCTTATATAAGGGAGCAGTACGTTCCGCAACAGTTTTACCTGCCTTGCGCTGCCAATGTGGGAATGCTGCTTAGCCCGGTTGGGCTGGCACTTCGCTTGCTCTCTCGGGTTCCCCGAATTCCTACTAAACCGTGCTCAGTAACCCCAGACCCAAGGACGAAACCCGACGCTCGAAATCCTAAACGCTCGAATCCTCATCAAGCTTACTATAGGGGCCTTAATAATTAGAGTAGGGTTTTTGGGGTACA